CTCTAAAGCTACTCAGCAGTATGACGTGTGTTTCAGCTCAGACACGCTCAAGAGTGACGTAGTGGTTTTCCCCGCCCCGTTTCCACCTGTAGATGCGGAACTAATCAGTATTAACGGAGGAGACACTTTTACCAGGACTCAGACTTTACCTAACAAAGAGAAGGTAAGATGCTTTCAATCACTAATTCCAGTTCAAGGGATACCACCCCTGTCTGTATTTTGATACCCGCACATAGCATAATACTGTAACGTCAGTGTACATGGTTTAATGCAAAATTCGTACATTCATACAGAAAAGTAGATTACATACGTTTTTATTAGGGTAATGCTACAACTATAACTTCCCTCACTGAAGTATTTTCTTAATCAATCGACTATATGAAAAGTGCTGGTCTAATACAGTAAATAACTAGTAATTATATGGTCTGAAGCTGCATAATGGGAAAGGCGCTCTCCGCGGTGCTGATTTCTCTTTGTCTGCTAGTCGTGTTTAGCTTCATGTCCTAAAATAGCTTATCTATGAGTCTCAACACCATAAACTTGTATAAATAAAATTTTAAAGTTACATGCCCATAAATGATCAGCTGGTCCATAATTTGTACCATATAATTTACAGTACCTAATATGTTCGCCTGGAAAGGCAAAATCGTTGGTTATATAACTTGTAATGTTTTAACTGAATGTGAAGATTTTCTCTTTTCTACTTAACAAAACTCTTCCCTGATTGCGTAGTTCCAATTTACCTGGCTTTTTTTAGTGTGCACGACGTTTTCTGCAGCACAAAAAGTTAATATCTTATGACATCTGATATTCGTGATCCATTTCTGGTGTGTTTGGGAAAACAAACAATCTCTAAATATTAAACTGTTGTCGATAAAAGGAACACTAGATGTCGCCCAAGACCACAAACTCACTGATGTAAATTATGAGTTAAAGCTCCACCTTCACTGTTGGTGAAATAAGAGACAGCCTCTGCGTTTCTGTCCGGGTTAGTAAATCGCCTCGTCATGAACGATGGTATCTACATGTAGAGAGCTTGGTAGTCTTTCGGATATTTGTCTGCATTAGTGAATGAAGTGCGTTTATTTCTCTGGAATAATATCTACAAAACAGAATGAGTCTCCGACACCACAGAGAGGGGGAATGGATGTTGTTCGCCATTACTCTTTGTTTATCCGGCTACTGTGTTGCTCAGATTTCCTACTCCGTTTCTGAGGAGGTGGACAAAGGCACGGTAGTGGGGAATATCGCGAAGGATTTGAACATTAATACACAACAACTGGAGGAACGAGGATTTCGGATTGTATCGGGATACAGTAAGGCATATTTTGAGGCTAATTTACGGACAGGAGCTTTGTTCGTTGCCGAAAGAATAGACCGAGAAGAGCTTTGTCCTAATTTACCAAAGTGTTCTTTAAATATAGAGGGACTGTTAAACCATCCCATGAATATTTATCGCATTGAAGTCAGCATTGTGGACGTCAACGATAACGCTCCGACATTCCTTGAACAAATCCATGTGTTTAATATCTCCGAATCGTCTTCAACGGGAGAGAGGTATCCGCTCCCGGCAGCTCAGGATGCAGACACTGGCAGCAATTCAGTGAAATCCTACAAATTAAGTCCAAACGAGCATTTCTCCACAGATGTCAGTAGCGGAGGAGACCATTTGTCTGCTGAGTTAGTGCTGCAAAAAGCTTTAGATCGAGAGAAACAATCCGTTATTAAACTAACATTGACAGCCGTTGATGGGGGAAAGCCTGTGAGATCTGGCACCATGCAGATTTTTGTGAATGTCATAGACGTTAACGATAACACGCCTTCATTTAGTAAGCCGCTTCATAAAGTAATCGTCAGTGAAAGTGTGCCTATAGGTACAACAATACTCAAATTAAATGCAACAGACTTGGACGAGGGTTCAAACTCAGACGTCAGGTATTCTTTACTGAAAAGAGGAAATGTAGATTCCCCTGAAAAGTTCATTGTTATTCCTGAGAGCGGTGAAATCATTGTGAAGGGTAATCTGGATTACGAGGAAAACACTGCATATGAATTACGAGTGCGCGCTAGCGACCAAGGCGCTTCCCCTCGTAGCGGTTATTCTAAAGTGCTGTTAGAGATTGTTGATGTCAATGACAATGCACCACAGATTTCAGTAACTTCACTTATGAGCCCAGTAAAGGAAAATGCTGAAATTGGAACAGTAGTTGCACTTGTGACTGTAACGGATAAAGACGGGGGGCAAAATGGCCTCACCACTTGTAAATTGAAAGATTCCATCCCATTTAAATTAAAGTCAAATTACAAAAACTATTACTCAATAGTAGTTAACGGTCAGCTTGACAGGGAGACTTTATCACAATACAGTGTAACTATAATCGCTACCGATGAAGGCAGTCCGCCTCTTTCAAGCAGTGCTGTAATCACTGTGCACATTTCTGATGTTAATGATAATGCACCGAGTTTTCCAGATGGCTATATTAATATTTACGTGAAAGAGAACAGTAAAGTGGGAGACATAATCACAAAAGTGACAGCATGTGACGCTGACACAAATGAAAATGCTAAATTAACGTATTCGTTAAGAGAGAACTATCCGAATCAATTTTCGATTTCAACTGTTTTAAACATAAACTCAGAGACTGGAGACATAATCAGCCTGCAGTCTTTTAATTATGAGGAGCTGAAAATGTTCCACTTTAAAGTTCAGGCCACAGACTCTGGTGTTCCTCCACTCAGCAGCAACGTCACTGTCAACGTTTTAATCCTGGATGAAAATGACAACAGTCCCACGATTCTCGCGCCATATTCTGAGCA